ATTGTTCTTGTAAGTTTGGGATACACCGTTTGATTTTACAGACTAAGGAATCGGTAATTGTTTTCATTATCGTTTTTAATGTAAACTATTCTAAATAAATGATGGGGATGATACTGGATGAAATGTAGACTGTTAGGATCACTTTTATGAAGAACTGAATGGCTGGAAACGGCCGGGGATGAAGCAGACGAAGCGAAGAAGTGCAGTGCTCTCAGAGAGGGAGAGAGCCGGCTCCAGGGAAGTGGGAGTTGGCTCCCTCTTGTGCAAAGCCGGCTCCAGGAGGTTGGGAGTCGGATCCCCTTTTCACAGAGCCGGCTCCAAGGTCTAGGGAGCTAGCTCTAAGGTGGTGTGAGCCTGCTCTATTTTTTTGTGAGCAAGCTCTATTGTTTTAGTGCTTTCTAGAGTGGTTTTGGGGCACTGTTTGGACAAGTTAGGTTTTTGGAACTGTGTTGGAATATTAATGAGGGTTATATATATTAATTCAAAGTGTATTAAAACCCTTTGATGCATAATCTTTAGTTGTATGCTAAAAATTGAAGATTAAACAATTTTGCATACGGTTAATAGATAAGAAGGATTAGATTGTTGAATTTTGTTTTAATAATCTAATGGACTGTAGCATGGACTCTAAACCTTATATTATGTTGTATTAGAACCCAAACTGCAGAATTGATGTTTTTATGCAATTGGATTAAACAGTATGAAAGCATGAAACAAGTTGTATGCTGTTAACGAATATAACGGATAGAGGGGATTTAATTGCTTAAATTGTGTCTAGCAATTTAACGGACTGTAGTTTGATTTATAAAACTTGTTTTGAATGCATAATGGGGTCATTTAATTATCATACTTGTTTTATGCTTACTTTGGTTTTTAATTGCTGAGATATTAAAACTCTGTCTGCAATTACATGGATTAAATGCTTTGGATTCTAATTGCTGAACTATTAAATAATGTTATAGCAATTACAGGGATGTTATTTTGGATTTTAGTTGATGAACTGTTTAAATTCTGTTTTTATCAACTATATAGATTATGTGGATTGTATTTGATGTACTGTCTAAAGTGTTGCATCATTTATGGATCTATGCATTATATGCACCGGTATGGGACGGTGGCATATTAGGGACGAATTAGATCAAAACGTTAATTCCTACCTATTCATTCATACGGAATGGATTAACTAAAATAGTTAAATCCTACATGGTTACATGTCCTGTCAACTAAAACAATTGAACGACATATTGGATGTTTGTTTATATTTCTGTATTAGGAAGGAAATGGGTTTAATTAAAAAATTTAAATCCTAATTATATGTCGTGTCTTGGCAATGAACAGTTAAGCGGCACTACATTTGTTTTGGATGGGAATTTATATATATAATTTATGGTACCGCGATATGAGCTTGAGTCTCAGGATCGTTGGTTAGGGAGCGTATATGTATTGGGATGCATAACTGGTTGAAATGGTTAAGGTATACCCTGTTAGGTCTAGGTACTCATACCCACCTTTGGGTACATTTTTGCACATTGCCTTTTATTCAGGTTGAGATTCCTATTGTAGTCCAATGAGAGTCTTGTAGTGTAGATATATATATATATATATATATATATATATATATATATATATATTTACGGACTATATAGATATAGTTGAGATATCTAGGATGTATCTGCGTATCGGGTCTCTGTTTAGATTGTAGTTAGAATAGAACTTGTTCATGAGCCTGACCTATTATTATTTTTCAGGTATTGGACGGTTCCAGTTTTAGAGCTTATTCGTGCTGAGCAGAAACGGTCACTCACTCTTCCGACTGCATAGGACTGTTATTTATATTTAGTTTTAGATTTCCTTGTTTAGTTTAGTTTAACTTCAGTTGGGTTTGGAATAGGGGTCCACTAGATGGATTCCCGAGTTGTATTCATGGAGGATCAGTTGTATCAGAAGAGTTTATTTATTAATGGAAATTTATTCTGAGGTTTCAATTTCTGGATTATCATTTTAGTTTCTTTTCAGCAATTTTATTTATTCCTATTTATCTTAATTGTATTCTGTATTCGTTTATTGCTAATTGGTTTGATATCCTCGGGTAATCGGGCGTGGGCCTGGCCAACCTGCATCCAGAAATCTGGGGTATCACACGCCCCAGCTCCTCCCATGAGAGAAACCAGACGAGTAGACCAACCACCACTCTCTTCCCCATATCGGCAAGAAACAAGCCTTCGCCAAGGGCAATGTCTTTCCCTTTCGTACCTCCACAGCTATTTTTCCAAAAGAGCTTAAATTCATTGGCTTGCAAACTTGTTCCCAATTGACAAGTTTATACTTAAATTCATCTCCTCTTCCACCCCAAAGGAAATCCCTTTGAATTTTTTCAATCCTATCAGCAACAGAGCATGGAATTTGGAACATAGATACAAAATATGTGGGATGGCTCGATAAAGTGCTCTTAATAAGCGTAACTTTCCCCCCCTTAGACAAGTATTGCTTTTTCCATCTTGCTAATCTCTTCGCATACCTATCAATCATAGGGTCCCAACTCCCCACCGTTCTTGAGGCCCCTAAAGGCAAGCCTAAATACGGAATTGGAAAAGAACTCACCTTACACCCAAGGACTTCCGTTAAAGATGAAATATCTTGAACATCTCTAACCGAAACAAGCACATTTTTAGCCACATTAACCTTCAGACCAGAGACGGCCTGAAAGCAGGCCACGATGCACCTCAAATATCTAAGTTGAGACACATTAGCATCACAAAAAACTAGGGTGTCATCCGCAAAAAGTAAATGAGAGACCTCCATCTGATGGACAGGATCTCTTCCCACCATAAAGCCCTTAATAAGAATAAGATCATCTGCCCTTCGCATAAGTCTGCTTAATCCCTCCATAACAATAAAAAAGAGGAAGGATGACAAATTGACAAGGGATCTCCTTGTCGTAAACCCCGAGAACACCCAAAGAAACCAGCAGGAGACCCATTCATAAGAATAGAGAATTTGACAGACGAGAGGCATGTCTCTATCCATTTTCTCCATTTACTTCCAAACCCCATTCTCTGAAGCAAATAAAGTAGGAAATTCCAATTCACATGATCATACGATTTCTCAATGTCAAGTTTGCACAAGACTCCGGGAACACCACTTCTCAATCTAGAGTCCACACATTCGCCTACAATAGGAACTGAATCAAGAATTTGCCTTCCTCCAACAAAAGCATTCCGGGAGTCCGATATAATTTCATCTATCACTCCCCTCAACCTAAGAGCAAGGACCTTAGCCATAAGCTTGTAGATAGAACCCACTAAACTGATAGGGCGGAAGTCTTTAATATCAGAAGCACCTCCCTTCTTAGGGATAAGGGCAATGAAAGTTGCATTTAGCGACTTCTCAAAGGCACCAGTAGAATAAAACTCCTGAAAAGTGCCCATCACATCGTTTTTCACAACTGCCCAACTTTCCATAAAAAACTGCATAGTGAACCCATCAGGCCCCAGAGCTTTGTCCCCATTACAGCTAGATAAAGCCTTTAGAACTTCTTCTTCTGTAAATGGAATCTCAAGCCCTTTCCTATCGATCTCAGAAATGGTCTCAAAATGAAGACCATCAAGTTTAGGTCTCCAAGCAAGTGGTTCGGTATAAAGCTTCTGATAAAAAGAAGCAATCCCATTTCGTACATCTTCCTCCCTCCACATCTCTACACCTTCCACCCGAATACATCCTATATGATTACTTCTTCTATGAGCATTAGCAAGTCTGTGAAAAAAATTTGTATTACGATCTCCCTCTTTAAGCCAAAGAACCCAGGATTTTTGTCGCCAAGATATCTCCTCCATACTAGCAATCTCAGCAAAAGCTACCTGACAATAAGCTCTTCTAGAATGCAAAAACTTCACATGCCCACCCGCCTCTTATAGGCGATCAATCTCATAAAAATCAGCAATGACTCTATTCTTCCTCCATTCAAGATTCCCAAAAACGTCTTTATTCCACTTCTTATGATTGAATTTGAGAGCCTTCAACTTTAAAGTTAACATGAAGCTAGATGAGCCTATGACAACAACTCCCTCCCACCAAGACTGAACTTTCCCTTGGAAGTCCTCTGCTATTAGCCGTATATTCTCAAATCGAAACGGAGACCTTTGAGAACATAAACCTCCACAATCTAAAACCAAAGGAACATGATCAGATATGACCCGTGCTAAAACTGCTTGAACGACATCCGAGAATTTCTCTTCCCACTCCCCAGAAATCAAAAAACGATCCAGCCTTGAAAAAGTGACTAGGTCCCTGCCATTTGACCATGTATAGGCTGCGCCTTTCATTGGTAAATCAATGAGAAGATGTTGTCAATGAAATCAGAAAACTGATCCATTTTAGAAGACCTCATTCCTCCTCTGAACCTCTTTAATGGGAATATAACAGAATTGAAATCCACACCCAAACACCAAGGAAGAGACCACATTTCTTGAGCATGGTTGAGCTCCTCCCAAAAAAAAGGCCGATCAATATCAACAACTGGTCCATAGACCCCAATGAAAACCCAACTGAAGTTGCCCTCTTCCAATTTGAACTTGCAAGACACTGAGAATCTCCCCACCCACACATCCAACTGAGACAACCATCTACTATCCCACATAACTAAGATACCGCCCGAAGTACCTATAGCATTCAAGACCTCCCATTTTGCAAACCTTCCTCCCCACAAACTTCTACCCACCCTATCCAAAATGGATGCCAACTTTGTTTCTTGCAAACAAACAACTTGGGCCCTCCACTTCCTCAAAGGAACCTTTACCATCCTCCTTTTATTCAGGTCATTGAGACCACGAACATTCCAAGAAATAGTTCGTAGCTTCATTAAAAACAAGATAAGATGATCTCCCCTCCTCCTTTCGCCAAGCTCTGACTCCTAGTCCTTCCCTTCTCCATCACCGCCCCTTTCTTTCTGCCATAATTGACTTCAGAGATAAGATTCTTGATCTCCTGTACCCCTTTCTAGGATGATAAGGGCTTCGGGTTCACTACCTCTTCAGTCACAGCTACCTCTCTGCCTTCCACTATTGCTTGAAGAATGGAAAGTGTCTGATTACTGTTCCCCTCTGAAGAAACACCCAGCAACTCACTAGCAGCTCCTATGTTTTCAATCATCCAGTCCTTACCCAAGTCAACACTTGAAGTAAAGTTTAATAATAATAATGATGATTTTTTACTTATCAAAAAAAAAAAAAAAATGATAACTAACCCCCAACCATAGAAGAAAGCCACCCCACTTGCAAAAGATCCCTTCATCACTTAGGTGCTCTCACTCTCTCTCACATACACACATAATATATTTGTATTTATGCATTACTATATGTAAGTATGCATGCATACATATATGTGTATATTTTATGTATTTATGTGTGTAAAATACTTACATGTATGTATATTTCATCTATATCACTGTAGGAATACCTTGGAATCATACTTTTCTGAGTCGCAAAAACTTTCCAAAACACTTCTTGGGTTGATGGCAAAGGCTCTACAGATTGATGAGGAAGAGGTAGACGAGATGTTTGAAGATGGGATGCAATCAGTGAGGATGACTTATTATCTACCATGTCCAAAACCAGAGCTGGTTATTGGCTTTACACCGCACTCGGAAGCTTCTGGCATCACTATCCTTCTCCAAGTCAATGGAGTGGAAGGCCTCCAAGTTAGAAAAGATGGATTTTGGCTCCCTACAAACTTCCTTCCTAGTGCCTTTATGGTGAATGTAGGAGACTTTGTAGAGGTTTGCATACCTACATGGATAGATCCTTCCCCGTTCTCTTTATCACAAACTAAATCTAATAAATTTTCAGAACCTTTTTCTGGTTTGGATGTCAATTTAAAATATATAAGTACCTTTTATAATGTTGCTCTTTTGTGACCTAGAGGTCACAGATTCAAAACAGAAATGGCCTTCCACAAGTACATAAGACAACTTACAGCTGACTCTTCCTAAATCTTGCAATGATAGGAGTCTCGTACACTGGACTAGTACTGTATTTTTTACCTAGCTACTACTGCCTGACATAAGTTTTGCAGTATCACAATTTCCTTTTCCTAAAATTAACTTATGCAGCATCACTCATTTCAACATTCTGGGCTCCTTTACTAATTGCTGGTATATTAAGTACAGATGCTTAATTTGTGAAGTTCTGTAATAAATTTTAAATTTTTTTTACACTCACCTACCTTGGTCTTAATTGCTAAGACTCGTTTAATACTTTTTTTACACTCACCTACCTTCTTTAGTTTGATTTGAATTTTCCTTTTCCTTTTCCCACTGTTTGAGTTGTTAAATTCTACTATTCATCGTCCCACAGACATATTCATCATAATATGGCCATGGTGTGAGTTCCATGATTTAACTTGTTAACACCAAACACTTCAATTCCAAATATCTTTAGGAAACAACACTAATTATTTTCATATTTGGTCGGCCTCTTTGTTGCTTACCTTCAAAACATACAAGTCTTGCTCTTTTTATATAGGGACCTACGTTGAATAAGACCATACCACCCTAAGTCTACTTTTCGTAGTTTTATCTTGTTATACCTAACGTTCCCATCGCATAGTCACATGTTATTTATCTCATCTTTTCTAGTAATTTTTATCATCTCGCAAAGCATCCTTGTCTCCACCACATGGATGAAGCTGTATTTGTGTCTTTCTTAACATTGTATTTTGGTCAGCCTCTTTGTTGCTTGCCTTCTCAATTTCTTTCTGTTTATTGTGTTCATGTACAGATCTTTAGCAATGGTGTCTATCGCAACATTGAGCACAGGGTGACAGTAAATCCATTGGAAGAGAGGATCTCTATTGCTATGTTTTTCAATCCCAAATTCCAAGCAAAGGTTGGACCTACAGCTCGTACTATAAACCCAGAAAACCCACCATTGTTCAAAAGGGTGGAGATGGAGAAGTGTGTCAAAGATTTCTACTCCCATAAGCTCAATGGAAAGTCATTCTTAGAGCGAATGCAAATTGAAATTGATGGTGATCATGAACTTGCTCAACAAATAAAATGGTGTAATATATTGAGGTTTGAAGTTAAATTTTATAAAATTGTGTCTTGTTTAATGTTGTTATAAATAAAATGGTGTGATCGATGTATATTATGGTTTGGAGTATATGTGTTGTATATAAGTCGTACCACATTGCTGGTGGGATAATGTTGTTATAAATAAAATTGTTTTATGTACTTGTTGGTTTGGAGTTAAATCTTGTAAATGGTATTATGGTACCTCTTGTATGTAAAGTTATACTAGTCTCTATTACATTGATGAATTTTATGGTGGGATAATTCAATCCTGTTTTGTATCTAAACTTGTTACAATTTAGGGTTGCATAATAATGGAATGATATTGGTTTTTATGTATATATGGTACTGCTGAGACGTTATATATCCGAAGACTTGAACATTAATTTGGTAATCAGGTGCAAAAGGAACCAACAAATTGCGGTAGAATTTGAAAGTGAACATGATCCAAAGCACAAGAGAGCTTTATGGAGGTACTAATTTGATCCGAACTTCAAAGTGGTTATTTTGGAGCACCAAATCAGTGCAACGATGACAACAACATAAAACTAGCATGCCATAATTATTGCATTCGACATAGCCACTAATACCTACCAGCTTGAGTTATTATTATCCATGGGCACTAATAAGGGTCTTTAATTGAAGTGTGAGAGATACAAGGCAGCTACCTTCCATGGGATTAATACCTCATTCCCGCAACATCCACGTATCATTGGCAGTAGAATTTCAATGCATCAATTGCAACCTAGCATATCATCAAGCCTCAAACAAGAAAGTTTCAAACCAGAGGAAAAGAAACAGTGTCATGATTTTATTAACTTGAAATAAAACTAGTTACAGGTGAACTTTTATACAATTCACAAACAAGGCACATGGCCACTCAACAACTAGGAACTAAGCAAGAGTCAACTCCTAGCAAAAGTCAAAATACACCTTGCCAAAGTAACACCAAAAAAAATTACAGTGGCAATCTCTCTGTACATAAGAGGCAAGCTTTAGCCTTGTGCCATTTCAGGCAAGCTTTAGCCCTGTTTCTCAGAGTTTTCTGCAGCAGTAAACATATACATTTCTATTCGCAAAATTTTCTTTTACAGTTGTAAAGAATGAACTGATTCCAAATTGCTGAAAAAAATGAATGGCGTTGGAAGCTATTCTGGTTTGAAACTTATCCCAAGATCTCTCCCTCTTCTACATCAATCGCCTCCTCATCCATGTAGAAGTCATCCTCCTTCAGAAACAAACCCAATAACTCCAACGGTTTATTTGATACAAATACTCTAAGGTTCTCAAAGTATTGGACAATTTGCAGATTGTCCTCGAACTCTACAGTCTTCTCCAACTGAAACGAGGAAAGGGGAAGACAAGTTAATTTCTTTTTAAGCAACAGATTCAAAGGTGTACATCAGGAAAGAAAAAAAAAAAAAAATTTGAACAAAAAATAGACAAACATAAACCTTCTGCAGACGAAGTCGGGCAGCGTCTCTTTCTCTCTTCTGCATCATTTGTCGTGCTTCTGCTATCTTTTGTGAAAAAGATTCATCGGCTCTGATTTGGGGTTCAACTCTGCCCTTATCTGTAAACAAGAAATTTAAGAGTTCAAATATGATTTTGAATTGACATTTTGTTTCAATTAGAAGGAAGAGAAAAATGTCTCATTTCCCCTTGTAAAGTCACTTCATGCAATATGGAACCTATGCTCCTGTCAGCATTCCACACCTGAGATACTTAATGCAAACTAAAAAATAACCATAGGGGAGCCAATATCCTATCCTTTTTTTCTCAATTTCAGCCAAAAACTTATTTATCCAAAACACAAATTAATAAAACTTGAGTTCATTTATGGAATAGTAAAGATTACCTTTCCCATGCAGCCTTGCAACTCTTTCCTTTTCCTCCCTTTTAGCCTGGTCAGCTTTACCAGCCTGAAGAAGAATTAGACAAGAAGCTTAATGAGCAAAACCACAACAGCAAAACCTCAACCTTGCAGTTGAAAACTAATCAATGAAAAATACTTACTTTGATAGCCCTTGCATCGAGACAACTCCTGATAATTCTTTCCAGCTCGCACAAAGTGTTATCATCCAATGCTTCAATATTTAATTTGATCTTTTCTGGTTTCAGGTAGGTGAAAGCATCATTTTGAAGGAAACCCTGCAATTGGTGCGCCTTCTTTCCAGTTGATACTTCCACAAATGAATCTTTCCTAACATTTTTCTTCTTTGTCTTGTCACAGTTCAGATTTCCCGAACGAATCCCAGACACCATTTTGTCACCAACAATGCATGAATCACCTACTGCACAATTAGCACCACAAACAAGACTAAATACATTAAAAAGATCACTTTTCTTTTTTAATTCAATGAAAAGAATGAATATAAGAACCCCAAGTTATAATAATAATAATAATTTTTCTTTTTTAATTCAATGAATAGAACACGAGTTATTAAAAAGGAACAAATAAAGATAACCCCTAATTGCAACCTAATTATAGGGAGAAAACAATTGCAACTTCCAAAAAAAAATTGTATGAAACAGTAGTGATTGGTTTTGGAAATTAATCAATAATCACATCCTTGAATCATGAAACATCAATTAAAATATAACCCTGAAATCATACAATTAGCAAAATACGAAGATAAACAAAAATTCGAAGATAATTACCAGAATTGAATGCGAATGACGTGAAAATCTGTATCAATCGACCAAAAAAGGGAATGGAAGAGAAAGGAAAGTAAAGGTTTAGAGAGGCAACGAGATTTTCGGAAAGAAAAGGGAAAGAAATGATTTTCGAGGGTTTAGGTCTGAATTTGTATGTCAAAGAGAGAATAGGGCTCTATCAATAAATAGGGCTTTATCAGAAAATAAGGCTTTATCAAGTTGGCGGCGCTGCTGTACGTATTGCGAGGGTTTAGGTCTGAATTTGTGTCAAAGAGAGAATAGGGCTTTATCAGAAAATAACATGCTATGCCGATTGATAAAGAAGAAGTCAAAGGGAACTATTGGATTTACATCGGCTTAAGGACAAAAGAAAATCAAATAGAAATATACCTTCGCAAATGCTGCACTGTGTGAGACTTCAATTTCAAGATGCTGTGATGAAGTCGAAAACTTGGTTCATCGGACGCATGAAAATGCCTCGGCGTATTGAGAAGACCGAGCATAAGCCCTTCTTATCAAGTTGGCGGCGCTGCTGTACCTATTGCGAGGGTTTAGGTCTGAATTTGTGTGTGTCAAAGAAAGAATAGGGCTTTATCAGAAAATAGGGCTTTATCAAATTGGCGGCGCTGCTATACGTATTGCGATTTGCAAAGGAATAAAGGGGAAGAAAAGATTTTCGAGGGTTTAGGTCTGAATTTGTTTGTGTCAAAGATAGAGTACGGCTTTATCAGAAAATAGGGCTTTATCAAGTTGGAGGCGCTGCTATACGTACTGCGATTAGGGCAAGTGCTGGCAATATATGCTAGCAAAACTTTGTTGGATTGTCGGTTACGTCAGCAATTATGTTGATGTGACTAGCAATAATATACTGCTATTTTATTTATACGATATGAATTAGTTAATATTTAGTACTTTATTATTTTTTGTTGTACTTTTTTAATGCATTTAATATTTTGAGTAAAAAATATTAAAAATATATTTATTTTTTTTTGTTTGCTTGTATTTTTTAAAACCATTTCTAACAATATGATATTTTGTTTTAAAAAATTCGTTGATAAATTTTTTTAAATTTTTTTTCAAAAGACTAATAAGAAATAGAAATCATAAATATTTATTTCAAAATAAAAAATAAAATAAAATAATCAAAACATAAATTTATTTTTTACAATAAAAATAAATCACATATAAAAAGAAATAGTAAAGAAAAAAAACCAAAAAAAAAAAAAAAAAAGGGAAAAGAGCCGTTGCTTGTGGGCAAAAAAAAAAAGAGGACAAGAGCTATTGCTGCAGGGCATGTGGGGCTTGTTTGGCTCGCAAAGGACTTGTTACCTGTTGCGATGCCCTTTGCTAGCTTTCCTTTGGGTCCCACAGATTGCTAGCTTTATACCAATTCACATACTAGCAACACTAACTCCAGAGCTAGCAAACAAGCCCTTGTACCGGTTGCTCTTAGCCTAGGAATAGTGGGGATAATGCAAAAATGACTGCGTTACCCTCACCACAATAATATTTCTTTTCTTATTGCATTTTAATTTTTAATGAGAGAGAGTTTGAGGATAAATCAAAACATATATATATTTTTTCTTTCTAATAGACATGCATAAAAAATATTTTTATTACTTTTCTTTTCTTTCTTTTCATTATCTTTTGGATTCGTATAGGTTAATAAAATTTATGACCCTAGTTGTCATTTTGGATATATTTTAGATTGTATATATATATATATATATGGATCTATCTAATTTCGAAGTGAGACAAATTTAGTAATTAATTTTTATCCAGTAAATTTGAAATAGAGGCATTTCCTAATATACCTATATCCTTTTAACATCTGCATATTTCATTTATCTTAAGAAAAATTTATGAGGTTATTTTTGTAGTCACTACCATTAAGCACAAATCAATATTTGTTTTAATGAGCTTGGATGATTATGATTTACCATAAGTTGATGGCAGGTACTATATACCTTATTTATTTTGTTTGGATTAGAGTATGTGATCGGTCTCTACCATTAAGCACAAATCAATATTTGTTTTAATGAGCCTGGATGATTATGATTTACCATAAGTTGATGGCAAGTACTATATACCTTATTTATTTTGTTTGGATCTGTTTTTTAGGGGCGTGCCAGAGCCCATTGACTCAAATTTAGAATAGCTAAACCTATCATATTTATAACCGAATAAAAGAAATCAGTCTATTGTAGGAAAGTTAGGATTACCACTTTCCTTTTAGGTTCTTCAATGCCTCATTGAAGGGGACTTTAATAACAGATAATGGAATAGATGAAAGGAGAAAGAGAACTGCACAAGCATTCATCAATCCCAGAAATTTATAAAATAACAGAGGGGACAAAAGCCAAGCGTCCAATCTCTTATTCCATAAATAGAATTCCAGTACAAGGTTTACAAGTAAAGGAATTGTAATCAAACTATAATACCAGTCCTATGAAAATACAGATAAAGTAATATACTGGAAAAGGATCAAACTATAATACCAATCCTATAAAAATACAGATAAAGTAATATACTGGAAAAGGAAAGAAAAATACAAGGAAAGTGGAAAATATTACATGATGAAAAATGCATTGTGTGGTC